CTGACAATCTATTTCAGTTATGTATCTTTACTTTTCCTTGAATTTCACATTATGATTTTTAAAAAAGTGATGCATAATCTCATAACATTCTAGATATCGCTTATATACTTTAACATTTAAGACATTTGAATAAAATTAATGTTTACGTTTTATCCTCTGAATAAAAAGAAAATTAAATCAACGAAGAACAATTTAGTTTTGAAGAATATTTGATTTGCTTAGTGAATGTAACTTTACCACAATTAAAGTACATGTCACTTCTTTGATCTAAAATCTGATGAGAGGGTTTGACAACTTAAAATATTTTACTTTAATGTAAATTAGTTGAATCTGATTGGTCTAGAAACATTTGTTAAAAACACTATTACCCGCTAAATAATGAAGCCACACCCTCCAGCGTAGCAACAGTCAACAGTGCACGATTCACTGTTATATGTATTTGTATAATACATTCAGTGTAATATAATAAGTATTGCATGTAGTAATTGAGTTTAACATTGAAAATTTTCAACCCTCGAAAACCATTGTCAACCTCGGCTGCGCCTCGGTTGACAATGGTTTTTTTGGGGTGAAAACATTCAATGTTACACTCAACTATATACATGGAATATTTATCTAATGAAATTCCAAGTAATACAATGTTAATGAGTTAAATGATAACACAGCCATGTACTTTGAATCGTACAGACAGCGACTCTTCCGGATTTTAATCTTAAAAGAGTGATAAAAAAAAATGCATGGATGTTGAAGGATGTTGAGAATAGTGTTAAGGACTCTTAAGGTGAAAACTTTTTCAATAAAGTCAATGTGAGGGAGGTATTGATGATGTGGATACGGTCAGGAAAAACCTATATACGAGTACATAGGTCCTTTATATGGCTGAAAAATGGCCTGTTCTGACAGGAAAAATACATGCAATAGACTTTTTAACGCGTCATGGGTTTCAACCAACAAAACCTTAGCTACCCAACACAAACCTCTTAACAATAGACTTTCTTGGCCAAACAATGTTTTAAGAAGAAAATGATAAAATCTAAAAGTGCGTTTGACGTATTATATTCGTGGCAAAGAACACAATTCAAAGGATTTGAGAAAACTAAAAGAAAGGTATATGTGAAAAAATACAAGTAAAATACAAGAAAAAAGTATATTTTTCGTATTGCTTATGTTTTATCAGCTCAGCATACAGAACGTAATTTAATCCTGGGGGGGGGGGAATATCAATTTTCTGATAAAATCTAAATGTGTAGGCGACGAACGATGTGCTATTTCTGTGATAAAAACACAATTAAATAGATAAGAAGGGTATTTTTGAAAAAAGAAATAAAATAGAAGAAATCATGTTTTCCACTTTGTTCAGTTTTCATTATTTCTGCATTTAGTAATGACCCAGGGGTTCCGCCATCGATTTTTTTCTTATAGTTGCTTTCACGAGGTTTGTACATGCAAAACCATATAATGTGATGTTGTAAGTTTTGGAGCTTGTGTCATTCTAAAAATGACAAATACATGATAATCTCCTTAATAAAATTTACTTGGAAACAATCTAATATCCCCTTTCGTTAAATGTTTTTTTTATAATATCCTTCCATTCATCAGCCATGGGTCAAAATTTCATTCTTTCAGAAACTTTCAGAAACAAATCTTTTGTATTGTAACTTAACCGATCAAAATTTCACGATTTTTGATCGATACAATGAAAAGGGCCATAATGATTACATGTGAATTAACTTTTCGGGGCGGCTTGACGAAATAGAACATTTTGCAGTAGAGTAGAAAAAGAAACGAATTCTCTCTGTTTAAAATTTGGATTCTTACTCGTGAGAAGAACTGCGAACGCCAGTATTGTTTTGTCTGTACCTCCAAGTACATTTTCAAAAATTAACATATTAGAACAATTTTTCACATTTATAATGATAGTCGTGTGAATTTTCATCAATCATCATTGTTTTAGGGAAACAAAAAGAGATAACTCTGTAATTTTCGTAAACCCTGGTTTTTTGTTTTACTAGTAAGTCAATGGAAAACGAAAATATTTTTACCATCCTCCTTGACACAAAATATCCCTTTAAAGGTGTTTAAAAATAGTTAGTTTACAAATTTATACCAAAAACTTGTTGGAAGGGGGATGTGTATGCAGACAAAAATTGCAAAAATGGTATTTGAGAATATTGCGATGTTTTAAGCCGACTTTTAATTGAAAAAATTGTACAGACTTAGATAAACAGATTTATAATTCAAAGCTGACCTGATCCCACCTCTGACGTTGTAGAGTTCCGTGTTTGCTTTATTCCTGGTTTTTATTGTTTGAATGGTATTTTCGTTATATCCATTTTTTTAATTAGGGTAGTTTTTTAATTTTTACATCCCACTCGAAAATTTTTCAATCATATGGAGAAACCACCATTTGCCGGTAGATGACTGAAAATGCAAACCTATGATTGGGTCTCAGGGTCTGTAAGCATTGAAGGATCCTTTTCGTCCCAACATATAGTGCTTGGTTTGGTTGGTTTTCATCCAAAGAACCGGTCTCAATGTCCTCCAGTGGATTCAAACCCACGAGGATCAGTTCCTCACTCCGTAGATCTATAGCAGACTGACATCACTGCACCACGCGGGTAACACTTTATGGCATTTATTTGACGTTGTATTGGAGGATGAAGATTGGCAGGTTAAATATTCCATTATATTTCTGAAATTGTTAATTGATAAGTTGTTTGCCCCCTTCCTCGCCCCCTCAATTTTTTTTATGCAATACAATCAACATCACATATCTCATGTTTAACACTCTCTCTCAGAAGATATCGACATTGTATGATGTTAACAAACAAAAATCATGAAAGACATTTAATCAGTAAAGAAATTGTCACTCGAAGAACAGCCTGTATACTCATCAGAATCCTCAAATAAGAATCAAATATCGCAATAGAATTGTTCACAGAACTAACAAAAATATTTTAGGTGAAAAAAAATTGTAGATATAATGTCCAACTGTATATTCTTGGAAATATATATTATGCTGCCATATTATCCAGGCTGCCATGTAAGTAAACAGCGGCGTATATTCCTCTCTGTTGATGTGTAGGCTATTGTGAATAGGAGATTCACCTGAGGCGCGAAGCGCCGAACGGGGGTAGGTACGGGAGGGGGTCGCTCCTCCTGTTGTTGGGGGTTCGGGGGGCCTCCCCTGAGAAAAAATTGAAAATTAGACACGAAATCATGCGATTTCCTGATAAAAAGATTTTTTTTAAAAATCATTTATTTAAAAATACAGGTGTATATATGAGTTCTTGTGAAAAAAATTTGTTCTCCTCTGGAAAATTTTAATTTTTTTCTATTTTGCCAATTTGAAGACAACTAAATTGTTTTTTTGACCAAACAGGAACTATAGTGTATGATAAATTTAATCTTAACACACTTAAGGTTAATTAAGAGAATAGTTGCACTACTTGGAAAAACTGACAAATCTTAGCAGTGTGCAGTTGAACCTAGTTTAGTATCTTTAGTAGCAAATTATACGGAAAGAAGTTAAGATCGAGTTTGAACACGAAAGATGATAAATACTTATCGAAACACTCCACTTTTGCAAAACACTTATATTATTGCGTGACATAATCACCTTTGCTTGAAATCATTCTGTTTGTTGTCCTGTTCATAAGTACATGCAACTGATTTTTTTAGATATACTGTTATAGACTTTATAGTAAGTTTTGAATTTCACCTTGAAGATAACAAAAATATCGGAATTAATTTACGGTATTACAATATTTAGGCCAGTTTGGGTCGCCATATTTGTTATTGTTTTAACGTCACTCTCCATAATTTTTCACTCAAATGGAGACGTCACCGAATGCCAGTGAAAGGCTTTAAATTTTGACCTTTACTCGGCACTCAGGGCCATTGAGCAGTGAGGGATCTTTATCGCGTCAACGTCTGTCTTGAAACGGGACCTCGGATTATAAGGTCTCATCCGAAGGACCCGCAACTTTCACTTCAAACAAAAATGTGACCGAAGTTCGGACAACTTTAGCGTTAGGCCTATTTCCACCTGTTTATTAGATGAAGTCGAGTTTCAGGTAACTATGGAAACGTACAGACAGCTACTCTTGACGACATACTTAAACTTCCGAATTTTAATCTGAATAAAGTGATAATAAAAATGGATGACGAAGGTTACGAAAATAGAGTATTCAAAGGAGTTGAAAACTTTTTTAATAAAGTCGATGTGAGAGCGGTATTAATGGAGTGGATGTGGCTAAAAACTGGCCCGGCTGGACAGGAGATAATATACTTTTAACTCGTCATGGGTTTCAACCAACAAGGCCGTCCTTAGCTACACAGCTTCTGCATCTTAACAATAGACTCTCTTGGCCAAATGATGTTTAATGGAGAAGGGAATAATAAAATATAAAAGTTTAGTCGACATATAATGTTATATTTCTGTGATAAAAAAACACAATTACAAAGACAAGAAGGGTATTGATCTAAAAATAAAATTTAAATACAAATTAGCAGGTTTTTCGTTTTGTCCACTTTTCATTAGTTATGCGTTTAGTAATAATCCAAGGTTGCCGCTATTGTTTGTCTTCTTAAAATGGTTTTCATTGGGTGTGAATTACATGCAAAAGTATTATATTATGTGTCACTGTAAGTGTTTGAGCTTTTGTGTTTCTAGTGATGACATTATTCATTGTAATCTAGTTAATCAAATTTACTTGGAATAATGTATATCCTTCCACTCAGTAGCCATGAGTCAGATTTTTTGGCCTTGAAAAAAGTTGTCCACTACCCCCCCCCCCCCCCCCCACCACCACCACCACCACCACCACCACCACGAAATAGGATTTTCGAGTTTTGAAATTATATTAAATTTTTTTTTCTTGCTTGTCAACTTTTTTTGAGTTAGTAAAAAAAAAAATTCAGGTTGCCCCCCCCCCCTTTCAAAAACGATGCTACGTGACTGTATGAAGCGAAACAACTCTAACTGCAAAATTAAGCATTTCAAACCGAAAGTTAAATTTGTGACGATAGAAACTTTGGAACATGACTTTTATGAAAACAAAGAGGTAATAGTTTTTTATTTATTTATAACGAATAACGAGTAAAATAATAAACATATTAGGGTAGCATCTTAAGATATTCATTTCTAAAAATCATACCAGGTATCTAACTGATGCATAGCCAATCTCAGGAAATTTTTATAACTGTTACCCTACAAATATTTTCCATACCGTAGTTAATTGTGTAATGTTCAAACTATGCAATCGGCTGATATGAAACAGAAAGGTAAAAATGATTGCTTTATTTACTATAAATAAATTAAAAATTTATATATTTAGGGTCATATTTGAAAAATGTTAACTCTCTAGACTCCTTAGTGAACGGATATCGCGAACTAACAAAACATGTACAGGCACGTAAGGAGTATACTGACTTTAGTATTAGATAGTATATACTAATCAAATTATTCAAATTTAGTTTCAATATCATTTTTACTCCAAAGTCTAGTAAGATGACTTAAAGAATCTAAAGGACTGTGGCGAATCTATCAAAGCAAATGATATGCAAGCGCAGATTAAAAAACAATACAAAGCAAACAAATGTCTTCACTGGATGATTAACCTTGTCTTTAAATGGAATTCAAAGCAAAAGGTACACACACTGCAACCTGAAATTAGAATTTATTGAGTATTTCGTCTAGTTTTAGATTAAAATGGTAGGAACTTTATAACACTGCAGAAGATGGCCACAAGTACAACTAAAGCACAAGACGTTATCTTGTGTCACCTCTGTGACAGGAGACCCGCCCTTCTTCACTGTAATCCCTGTCAGGTCAACTTATGTGAAGAATGCGTCGGAAAACACTATATGACGTCATCATCCTCTAATCACGAGATTGTCAAATACCGAGAGAGAAAATTCCATCTTTCATTTCCAAACTGCAAAGCCCATAGTGGCGAAAAGTGTACTGTTAGGTGCCAAAATTGTGATGTAGAAGTTTGCTTTAAATGCCTCTGTGGCGACCATAATGGTCATAGAATTATCGAAATAAAGGACATTGTTAATGAAAAGAAAAAGCTTATGGAAAAAGACGCAGCTTATCTAAAAGACGATATTATTCCAAAATTTGAAAATGCGGATGCAGAAATAGAATCCAAATTAGCTGCTTTAAATGCTAAATGTGACCAATTAGAAGAACTAGTCACAGAACATGGAGAAAATTGGCGGCGATGCATTGAAGAAATCGTGGAGAAAAACAAGAAAGATATTGCAGAAATGAGAGAAAATGGCATTAAAAAATTAAAAGAATACCAGAAGGAAATCAAAAATGTTCTTGCAAGCCTAAATGAAATTGCTCTGAAAAACAAAAAGATTTCTCAGTCCATTGACATTAGTCACATCGCAAAATATGAAAGTAATATTCAGAAGTATCCGAAGATTCCCTTACAAATTGATCTAGAACTACCGGCTTTCGTTTCCAAGGACACAGATAAAGGTAAACTTTACCAATATTTTGGAAAATTAATAGAACCCAAAATACAAACAGAATCTATATACAGATCAGATGTATCCAACGAACTCCTAGACGAAGCTGTAGAAATCGCATCCTTCCACACTGGAATAACAGAGTTGATGAGGATGGCATGTTTGAATACAGAGGAGGTGTGGATATCTGGGCAGAATATTAAAACCATCACTCGTTTCAATTTACAAGGTTCTAAACAGGAGACTGTTACCTCTACTTGTCGAAATCATCCTAGTGACATTTCAGTTTCAAATAAGGGGCATCTGCTGTACACTGATAGAGTAAATCAAGTAATTACTGATGTTCATCAGACAACAGCACAGATCAGAGCACCACACGGATGGGAACCAGTAGGACTGTGTTGTACACAATCAGGTGATTTACTGGTCAGTATGCGTACATTTAATTATAAACATTGTAAGATTGTCCGTTACGAAGGTCAAACAATAACGCAGGAGATAGAGAAGGACGACCAAGGTAATCCACTATTTAAAGATGGAGATAGGATGCTGTTTGTAACAGAAAACAACAATGGGGACATATGTGCCTCTGATTGCAATGCTGGTGTAGTCGCTGTGGTGAACAAGGCAGGAAAAATACGATTTTTCTATAATGGACAACAAACGATGAAGAATCAGTTTAAACCTACCAGTATTGTCACAGACTTTGCTAGTCGTATAATAGTAAAGGATAATGGAAATTCCTGTACCCATATCATTGATCAGGACGGTCAGTTTCTTCTTAGTCTGGCTTTCTGTGGAGCACTGAGTTTGGACACAGTGGGACGACTGTGGGTGGGGGAGTTTGAGAGTGGAATTGTAAATGTCATGAAATATACAGAATAAATGTTTTGATTTCTATAAGGAATCTTTTTTGCAAATATTAAAGAAATATTGTTACTTTTTGTTTTTTTTAATTAAAATAAAATGTTTGAGTGTAGCAAATTAATCTCATTTAAATTGACGGAAGCACATATAATATTGTTAAAACTAATAATGGTGGTGGACATGGGTTTTGGGGGTCTCTTCAAGTTTTTCGATTGGGGTCTTTGCCAAGCCTGCAGGCCTGGGGCCCCCTCCACCTCTTGTAACAGGAGGGGAGGCTTAGTACTGGAGTACTTGCAATTGGGTGTTAAAGTACTGCTGACCAGAACCAATCACCGGAACCAAGGTATACAGTTGTGCTCGCAACTCTCCCGGGCCCAAATGTCTAGTACCCAAATTTGGGATCCCAGGCACCTGTGACCAACACAGGGCCACTGGTTTTGCCCGGTACTCTTTAGTCGGTATGCCAGTTGTCCTTCCGGACCCTATTCTTTATTGTACATCTATGCAATGCGGCCTCTTAACGCCAACTACCTTTTTGTCCATCAAAGTTATAAATAACACAATGTTTGCCTTTTCAAGTCTTTAATAAATTTAATGAAAACCATCCAACTGTTGTCTATTGCAAAGTTAACACCAAGGAAAGGGAATAGTGACCTTATGAGCATAAGGAATCATGTAGCAATGCATGCCAGGTCCCGCAGGGCAGCGATTACCTGACTGTTCAATTAACCAATCCTTATTTTATAGATAAATACGAGGGTTGTCCCAAAATTCTGTAGACAAGCGTTGTTTTGTACGAACATGATGTCATATATTAAGAAAACGTCGTACATAGACTAAACCAACACTATCAAATAAATTTATGGACAAATATGGAGTATCAACACAATTTTACCCTATTTAAATGACACATTTCATTGTCTGGAGATGTTTGTATTCTTTTATAGATATGAATTCCATAACGTTTTATATACACCGAGTTGAAATTCGACTTTTTGAAAAATGGCACAGGCGGCGCACTGGACTATGATCAAGTGTTTTGATCCTAAATTTCACTCCTATAAAATGTACAAGTCATAAATGTTTGGTAGACAAGGAAATGTTTTCTGTCCTTAGTAGTTAGAATGACTGAAATGGTTTCTCAATGTATGTGAATAACGGAAACTAAAAAAATAGACAAGCATAAGAACTGAGCAAGTGTGCCACTGTGCAACTCCATTAGAGAAGACAGACGAAAAGTCCGTTGAAATACAGGGTTTTCAAATCATTATTATTTCATACCTGTTCATGCATATACTTTGTTTACATATTTTAATGATATTTTAAGATATTTTACATTAAAAACTATTATTGTTTTGTTAACGGTAGTCCGATCCGCGGTTTATAAAATTAGCAGTTAATTAATCAAAAATACTGTAAATTACTTTTTATTCGCAAGAATTTTATTTTCGCGTAATTACGCGAGACAGGGTGCTTGCGAATATTTAATTCTTGCGTATGATAGTATTCCATAAGATTATATAGAGCAATAACCAGAATTCGTGAAAATTTTGCCTCGCTAATCAAGAGTCAATAGCTATCTCGCGAAAATAAGGTGTCGCGAAAATTTAGTGATCTACAGTACTCATTTAAAGTTAAAGATCAAAGTTAATCATATTATTTAGGGAAAATTGTCAAATCTCTAAAATATTTGCAGAAAAAGCGAATTGGAATATCAGCAATGCATTTTCTAATTGCAAATTGAGCAAAAAATATATTTTAGGCTAAAAAACGATAGGTATCCAGGCATTCAGAGAAATTGTCATGATTTCCATACTTATTTGGTATTTTTTGTCCCCTAATTCCGTCATGTATTCTATAATACATAGTGTAAAAGGATTTTGCTGTCATTGCAAGACACCATAAATCACTTCTCGTTTTATATTATACTAATAAGCATTGGTTTCTAGGGCTGGATTCAAGAAAAATCTTATTTCACTAAAACTGTATTAATTTTTCTCCTTTTATAGGGTACAAATGTCAACTTTTAGAAGACCTTTTCTAAGACTTCCAAAGACTGAGAATCTTATAAAGATGAATAAAATGAAAATTGTTGCATGAAAAAAAAAATATTTTTGAGCTTCATTTTGATGCATTTCTAATTAAATTTTAATTTTTGGAGTTAGCCTTCCTGGCTGAGTATCGGATATCCTTAATTAAGAATCTGTTTCTGGTAATTGGAATTTTTTCAAAAAAAAAATTGAACCGTAGACATTTGTCTTTTTTGACGTTGCAGATTGCTCCGGGTGTTAGAAAACGATATCACTTCGAATCTTATTACTCGAATTGTTTTCAAGTAAGCATGATAAAACTTCTTATTTTTTCTACGAAAAATAAGCTTTATTCACCCAGAAAATTTTATAAAGATACATTCATTTCTTTAAAAGATATAAGCTCAGTCTACGAAATTTTGGGACAACCCTCTAAAGATGCAAAACCCTACAAAGATATAAATATGATCGGAATAATATTCAACGTTTCAGTTTTTCAAAAATCATGAAATCTGAATAATTCTAAACAAGAGGCCGTAGGTTCTTAACGGTCACCTGAGTATAATACAACAACTTAGAGGATCCATAGAATATTTAAGGAATAACTGTCTTATTTTTCGATTTTATGAAGTGATCAATCGATTGGCTTGCGTGATAATTTGCATAAACGCCGAAGGCGTTTATGCAATAAATTATCACGCAAGCCAATCGATTGATCATCTACATGAAATTGAAAAATCTGGCAGTTATTCCTTATATTTACATGCTTTGATACCGCCAATATACGTGCTCCAAGCCCTGATTCTGTCTAGCTGTTTGTCCTGCCCTGCAAATGTTTTTTTTTGTAACCGCGCCAAAACATTGATGGGGAAATAAAGTACATTTACATTTGGTAATTTTCAAATTATCTCGGACAAAGACATTGGAAATGTAAATATAAAAAAATATAAAATAAGCTGATAGATGAAGCTTTCCCAAAAGCAAGCATAGTCAGTTTGAGAGCTCTACACAGCTCATACTATTTGTTAATCACTGTATAAAATGCTGAGTTTAAATAAAATTTACTTACGTAAGAGAAATAGGGTGATCAGGATCGATGAAATAATTAGTCTAATATATAGCTACAACTCATAATTCAAGTTTTGATATGTTTTCCATTCATCACTCACCAAGACGATAAAGGTTTTCCGTATATACCAAACATTGCTGAAGAATGAAATTTCTAAATGATATGTCCTTTTGTACTATTTTTAACCCTAACATGTAATATCTCACATTTGCCTATGTTCGACGTTGAAGATCAATTTACTAAGTTATTTTTGTATCATTTTTATTTATCTATTATTTACAAGTTTATCTGATCATTAAAAGTATAAAAGTTTTTTGTATTACACAATAAATTTCTTGCATGATTTTCTTATTCTATTAACTTTTCAAAATACATTATTTAATGTGATAAATTATCAAAAGTGAATTGCAAAGGGGAATATCTTCTCTCAATAAAATACAAATTTACGGAGCCCTGACCAGGATTATACAGAAAATATTAACTTCAAATCTGTGTCTATGCACCTTTAATACCCAGCAGCATAGAGGAAGATTTTCAAAGAAATAATTTACTTTCACTATATGATCTATATAGCCCTGCCCTACCAGGACCCCTGACTCAGGGGCCATGAAATTCACAATTTTGGTAGAGGCACTCGAGTTCATCATTACTATGTACTTACTTTTTTAGTTTAATACCCAAGAGCAGCTAGAGAAGAAGATTTTCAAAGAAATAATGTACTTCCACTATTTGATCTATATAGCCCAGCCCTAATACCAGAACCCCTGACCCTTGGACCATGAAATTCACAATTTTGGAAGAGGCATTGTTGGTCACCATAACTATGTACTTAGTTAGTTTGTTTAATACCCAGGAGCAGAGAAGATTTTCAAAGAAATAATGCACTTTCACTATATAGCCCCGCCCTAACATCAGAACCCCTGACCCTCTGGCCATGAATTTCGCAATTTTGGTAGAGGGCTCACTGCTCATTACAATCATGCTAACAGTTTGACTGCTTGGTGTCCAGGAGTGAAGAAAAATGTTTAAATATAGCATTAATTTTGGTGGTTTTAATCCCGCTGCTCAGGCCCCATGAGGGCAGGGACAATGAAATTCACAGTTTTTGTTCCCCCTTACCCATAAATGCTGTATACAAAATTTGGTTGAAATTGGTTGAGTGGTTCCAGGGAAGAAGCTGAAAATGTTCAAAAGTTTACGACCGATTGACGACGAACGACGAAAACAGATAGCAGTAGTTCACCTGAGTGACTCAGGTGACCTAAAATATTTTTTTAAAAATGGTCCTATGCTTAATTATAAATATTTTTGTCATGACATCAACATAATATCTAAAGAGATAAAATTTGCGCTAACATTCTGAACTCTTATGACCATAATTTGTCTAACAGATATGTCTGAAATCAAAGTTGCAATATTCATTCAAAATAGTTGTGTACTACATTACAATCATATCTGTTTACTGTTACGAGTATGATGGTAAAAATTGACACCAGAGAATCTAGTTTATTACTGACTTTCTATTTTATTTTTGCTTCCTTACCCATGAAATAGTACTTAGTTATCTTTGATTGGTTACCGAATACACAAACTTTGACCATTTGACCTTGGAGTTTGACCTACTTTTAAGAACTTAGAACATGCTCTTCGTATGAATAATTTCTTAAACGAGGAAAATCACTGACAAACATGTGGATGAAACAAGAATATCAGCAGTCTCGTTTAAAGTCATAATTTCGTAAGTTCCATGGTCGATACAATGTCCCTTTCAGCAAAAACAATTTTTCATTGAGTCAAATGCTGACTAACGTTTTTCCTGCTAAATGTTAGTCCATTATTCAAACACTGAACTGACGACGGACAAGGAGCACACAGCGGGTGTGACCGATCGACAGGGGATGCCCACTCCTCCATGGCACCTGATCCCACCTCTGATGTTTCGGAGTTCCGTGTTTGCTC